AGATTTACCAACGAAGAAGACCAAATGAGAATGCAGCATGATCTGAATAAATCCTTCAAACATGAATTTGCAGTCAAGGCCCGCCAAGTACAAAAATTGAACAGATTGAAAGCCCAGAAAGTGACACACAAGGTCCATAACCCCAACCTCCAGTGATGGCAGTAATCAACACCAGCTGAATACCTCTGAGGAGTCAGTACTGAACAAGGGTCTCAACTTCGCAACAACCATGGGGTGGATACCATACTTGGACATCATTGCCTGAATCGAGGAAATAGCCTTGAACATTCCTTAGGCCCAGGCGGATGAGCTAAGATAGAAAGTCAGACAGATACTGGAGAAAGCAAAGCCACCAAAATCAAACATCACAAGACACACCCTTGTTCAAGAAATTAGTGGATATCTATTTCATTGATACTGTAAACATACATGATTCTTACTCAGGTTTTCCACTGACTGGCCAGTGACTACCACATATTGCATTTCAATTTTCAATCTCATCAGAGTTCACCAAGTGGGAAAGAGCTTGTTGCATATCTACAACGTAACATGATGAAAGAAAAACCAAGATGAAAACATGAACCCTGTATTCTATATTACATGGCGATGTTTGATTCAGGGCTTCACCTGCTTGTTCAGATGGGGAGGTAGGTGATATGAGGGACAATTTCTGCTATGTCAGCTCTTCCTCCTACCAACTCCTTGCCCATCCCAATGTGGTGGCTTGCCAATATGAAATGGAGCTTGGAACTGTGACATGTCTCCTGTCAAGGGTGGACCAGCACTCTACCCAATCCCAAGCATAACCTAATATAGACCAGCATGGATATAACCTTTTTCTGGTTTTGTTGCCATTTGATCTGCAAAAGCCTTTGATCCACCACTGCATTTATGTATAGAAAACTGAAAAAGGAAACATGCACTGGTCTATCAAACAGAAACACTTGAAATAGAGATAAACACCTCTTCCGATTCTAAGTGAGTGTTCATAGTATCACAATACATTTTGACAAACATTAACTGCCAAAAAATATTAATATTAATCTCCCTGACCCTAAATCGATTGCAAAAATTTAGAATGTGGAATTATTAAATACTAAGCATTTCAACTACATCAGCATATGGATCAGTTATAACAAATTTAGTGTAAGAGATAAGGAAATTGAAGTGTTAAGATCAATTCTATGGACAATATTTGTTACCCAGCATAGGGATTGAACATACATTCTCCTGGTTATAAAAAAACTAATGCTTTATTGGATTAACCTGAATTCTCTGCTGGTTCAGCACAAGTAGCTCAATATAAGCTAGTTATTTTTCTTTTCAGAGAAAAAGAGTTTCAGTTGCTTGGTAAATTCTTGTCAGAGTAATTTAGAAGTGAACAGACTTTCTGTTGCCTGGATAATATCTCTAAGATAATTTAAACACCTGGAATAGGCTGTATTAGATGTAGTTTTGCCCAACATCACAAGTTGCTACAAAACTAAAAATATTAAACCTAAAAGCTTGAGTCAGGTTTTTAAACAGTGTTGTCAGATGTAGATCTGTTTTCCTGAAAAATTGTTTTAATAGAAAGATTTTTTTGCATTTCCACTGAATCTAGCACTGGCTGTTCAGTCAATGAATGCTGAATGTTTCCTTATATAGAAACTATTAATATTACCATAAGCAAAAACAATAAAAAAGTAATTGCATGATCAACTCTCCCCACAACTTTCTAAGGCTCATGTTGAAACACTAGTTCCCATACAATCTCCAAAGTTAAGAAACATTGAGCCTGGTCAGTACCTAGATAGGTGACTGCTTGTAAGCTTGGATGTATGGGTAGCATAATGGATAATATCCTGGAATTGTTAATTGAAGATTAGAGTTCTAATTTCTGTTGGATTTGTTATATGCACTTATGTACAAATACACTTGGGAAAGATATGAATCCACCTCTTCCCCACCCAATTACAGCTTAATTAATAAGACTTGTATCACTAAACTGTTATCTTTAAAAAAATTTCTTACAATATAAAAATATTTCCTGGCTTTAAATAACCTGCAAAGGGTTGATAAAACATAGAAAACAAAGAAATCAATCATCAATCAATGATTTTCTATCCTTTTCAGCTCTTCCTAAGGTTTGTCTTTTTCATCTCTCCCAATCCATGTCCTACTATCCATTTACACAAGCTTGTTGGGTAGGTTATTTGTTGCATTCAAAACAGTTTGAGCAAGCTGCTATGAAAAACAACTCAAATTAAGATATAATAAATTATAACAAAAAAATTAATAATGGGTAACAATACTCTTTGTAATAAAGATTCAAGATAATACAGTTAATGCCAGTTGAGTGATGATCAGAGAAGGTTGCAATGAAAAGCAACTGAAATTAAGATGAAATACTAGTCAAAATTATCAATCATTGACAATGTTTTGTGTAATAAAAATTAAACCTTATATTATTACTTGTATTACTAGATGAAAAGCAATTAAGATTAAAATTAAAATAAAAAATGTGAATAAATTAATAATGGTTAACAATAAAAATTACCCAGTTATGTTTTAAGTAGTTGGAAAGACTAGACACTAGCTGTAATTGGTAATCAGTATAAGGACAACTCTGCATTCAAAACTGTATGTGGGACTGGTTGGCTCTGTGGGTGTTAAAAAAAAACAAATGTGTCCAAGCAGATGAGTTTGCTTGAAAACAAGCAGCCATGCTGAAGAGGAGAAATCACATTGATTTGCGGTGTGCCTTCAACTGTGATGATGAATAAAAATGAATAATGTCTGATAATACTTCATCTAATAAAAACTCAAGCTAATATTTTTACAACTAATGACTGTAGGCTGATGGTCTGAGTAAGTTTCAATGAAAAGTAAGTGAAATTAAGATGAAGGAAATACTAGTTAAAAACGGTTGACAATACTTCATCTAATAAAAATTCATGATAATATTACTATTGCTAATATTAGTAGTGAAGCAAATGAGTGTGACTTATTGTGCCTTTTTGGACTAACGTTTTCTGCTGACATGAAGTGGAAAGATTATATTGAATCAACTTTTAGGTCTTCTCCTAGGAAAATTGGTTCAGTGTTAGACAATTTTTCTTGCCAGAATCTATCTTACAGGTTTATAAGCGTACCATACATCCATGCATTTCAGTAACATTCCCACTGCCATAACATAGCTTCCTTCTGCCTTTCCTATATATATTTTCTTGGTAATTGTTCTAATAAACTTTCTGTTACCTAGACTTTATTAATTTAAGCACAGTATGGAAAGTGTGACACTGAAATCTGAAGGCATATTGGGATAGCCAAAGAAACATTCTAAAAGCTAAGCAGAGTACTAAGAAATAGAAAAACTTCACTAGAAACAAGGAAAAGAGTACTAAACTGTTATGTGATATTTGTCCTGTATTACAGTGGGTTTTGGACAATATTCTTGAAAATGAAGAAAAGACTTGAAGCAACAGAAATGTAGTTCTACAGAAGGATGCTGAGGATAGCATAGCATGGACTGAACTTGTGAGCAATGACAAAGTTTTAGAGAAAATGGAAATAAAAAGGAAACTCATACTTAATATCAGGAAGAGACAGTTGAAGTTTCTAATTCACATAAAAGAGGGGTTGGAAAATCTGATACTCACAGGACAGATTGTAGGCAAGAGAGACAGAGGAAAATGACACATAACATACTTAGTGAGTTTCAGTCAATGGATGACAGAATAGGGTTTAGGAAAAAGATAAAGTTTATTAAGAGCTACAAGGGACAGGAAGTTGTGGAGAACCATGATTACTTATGTCCTGCGAGGATATGGCACATAAAGAAAACTAGATTGACTGCAAGATCTCATCATTTTACAGTTGAAATGGCTAGATGTAACTGTGAATTACATGTTAACAGTTCATCTTTCACACTTCTTGCTTGTGGAAGTCTCTTCTAGCTTCTTGCTTTTCAGTTAACTTTGATTTTCAAAAATTTAAATGCAATGTCAATCATTATCTTCTGTCTTCTTAATTCTTGTTCTTTTATTGTTCTCTCTTCTTAATAGTGTTTTTTTTCTCATGTTTTCTAACATAATTTGCATCTTAATGACTTTATTGCCTTGATTGGAGTGAAATGATTAAAATAACTAAAATTAAGATGAAGGAAATACTGGTTAAAAATTATTAATGGTTGACAATGCTTTGTGTAATAAAATTTATGATTATAACATTACTACATATAAAGCCACTACAAATGAAAGAAATACTAGTAAAAAATTAATAATGACTAACAATGCTTTGCATGATCGAAACTCAAATTAATATTACAACAACTGTAGGTTGATGATCTGCAATTTGTGATGAAAAGCAACTAAAATTAGCATAAAAAGAAATGCTAGTAAAAATATATGTGACAATACTTTGTCTAATAAAAATCCAAAATAATATTACTACTCCTAATGCTACTACTGTGTGTAAAAACAAAATTATATCAAATATGGTGGTGCTGAGTGATCAGAGAAATGATAAGGAATGTGTTTATATGGTTAGATTTGATCTTCAGCATCCATTGGTTCTTGTCACTAGATTGGTAGAGCAACTGTCCCATGGTAGTGGATTGAAAATTTTCAATTTAACTACAAGTTAATTTATTTCTGATTCATGCTGTTTATTCATGACCATAGACTGACGGTCTAAGTAGTTGGAATAAAAAGTGACTGAAATTACGATGAAAGAAATTTAAGTTAAAAATTAATAATAGCTGACAATGGTTCATCTAATAATAAAATTGAAGACAATATTATGACTGCTACTAAAAGCTGTAAAAAGATGGTCTGAAGAGTTGTGATGAAAAAGTGATTGAAATTAAAATGAAAGAAACAGTACTCAAAAATTATTTATGATAACATTAATGGAGAGATGTTGTGAAAAAATCTATTCATTCATGAGTGAAATGTCATGAAGTAGACACAACATTTGACATGCCAAAGAATTTTGTATAAAAATGTGAGTCTGCTTACCAGGATGCTGATACGGATGGTCTAGGGGCCAATATCCAGTGTTGTAGCCAGGAATTGGACTGATTTCTGGTGAGATGGTATATCCGTTTTGTGTAGTGCGACCATGAGGAAGTTGTCGATTCTCAGGAATAGTTCCCAGCAGAGGGGGGCGATCAGGTGTAACTTGTCGTTCTGGAGAGTAACGTCGATTAGCCACCTGTCGAGGAATGATCCCTGCTTGTCCACGTACATCCATTGTGGGTGTGGTTGACCGTGGACGTTCTGTCATCCGACTACTTTGGTTCTCACTAAGCATCTGTTGATATGCTGCTGAACTTTGAGAAGGTAAACTTTTCGATTTTCCTAGAGACTAAAAAAAGAAAATGATTAAAAATAGATTTATTGAAAACATTGAACAAACTTCACTCTTGCTATTTTGAGAAGGTAAAATTATCAAATTTCCTTGAGATTAAAAAAAAATCATTGAAACTTTTTGAAATTACTTAAAAATATATGTAAAAATTCAGATGCGAGTAAAAAATCTGTGAAAAGACAATATGAATAAAGACAAAAAGAAAAATCTTTTCTTTACTGATGTGTTTCATCAGATGATGAAATGTGTCGATAAAGAAAAGTTTAGATTTTCTCTTAAAAATATATATTTACATATAATGTAGATAAAAATATATTTTAATGAAAACTTTATATTTCTGGAGACAAAAAAATTATTAAAAATAGATTTAACATTCAAAAACAAACTTATTTCACTTTTTTATTTTGAGAAGGTAAATATTTCAATTTTCCTACAGACTAAAAGCAAAAAGTAAAAGAAAATTTATATATATAATGTAAGTAAAAATTTATTTTATCAAAAAATTTACAATTTTCCTATATAATCTAAATAATATTTTAATGAAAACTTTTTGATTTTCCTAGTCATTAAAAATCAAAAAAATAAGAAATTATTTAAAATATATATTTATATACAGTATATACTTGAGTATACTGTGAGTTTTTGTGATCAATTTTTTTATACAAAAATATTCAGAGGTGGCACTATATATGAAGTCAGCTTATGCAATTTTATATACAGTACAAAGTAAATAAAAATCTATTTTACAGAAAACGTTTTGATTTACTAGAGAATAAAAACAAAAAATTATTTAAAAAATTATATTCATAAATAATGTAAATAAAAATTTATTTTATGAAAATATTTCAACATTATATGAATTTCAAGCAAAAAAAAAAACCAAATAGATAATAATATGATCAATAATATAACTTATTTTTTATCCCAACACTAGGTGTCTATACATTCTTCATTATTACTAATAATAATAGTGGTGTCACCACAATGAGTTTATACATGCTTCATAATTAATATTGTTTTATTCCATATTATTGTTGTTTTTATCCCAACACTCTGGTCAATCAATTCTTCGTTATTACTATAACTTTACATAAATGATCTGCCTAAGTGTATACTCCAATCATTTGCGGATACTTTTGCTGATGATACAATGGTATATGGGTGCACCTCCAAAATTCTACATAACCAGAACTTGGCAGCTGATCTCTCCTCCGAGTGGGAGAAAAAACAAGCTGGTCATATTTGATGTCTTGAAAACCAAACTAGTGACATTCCATCATCAGTGAACAGACACTGAATTTTCACCTACCACAATGAATGGGTGTACTCTCAAGGAAGCCCCATGCCTTGAGCACCTATTGGGATTTTGCTATATAGGAATAAAGTGTCACTGCCGACACTGGAGTTTGAACACAGATCACCAGAGAGCAAACACAGGTGATTCCACTTTGAATAAGTAGATCACATGATGGTAAAAGAAAAGTATATATGGGAATTAGCATGGCATCTAACTGATCACTTTTTCATCCATTATTACTATATGGTTCACTATTCTCTATACTATTCATTATACTATTTCTCTATACTGATCATTATATGGATTACTATTCAGTGGTTACTTTTCAATTAGTATTATCGAGCAAGTACTATTAGTGTGAGTGTTATTCGAAGGTGTCTGACACCAGTATTGTTCAATGGTGTTACTATAGTTGTATCTGTGATTACAAAATCTCTACTACAATGAGTATTACAAAAGTGACAATGAGTGTTCATTGACATCACAAAAGATTTAAACTCAACCCAGACCTCAAGTGGAACTGATATATATGATCCATCACTAAAGATACTGGAAAAATGGTCAGTTCCCTGTACTCTTCCAGTAAATACATGACTTCTCTTGCTATCCTGTAACTTTTATTTGCCATGTCTCATCAGGACATTGAACAATTAGACATAGATGATCATGGCTTTCCACAACTTGTAGCTCTTAATAAACTTTGTCCTTCTATTATTTCTCCTAATTCCTGTTCCACCATTCATTTATTCAAGCTCATTAAATGTTATGCATTGTTTTCATCTGTCTCTCTTGCTCTTTATCTGTACTGTGAGTATCAGATTTTCCAATCCCTCCTACCTCATTATATGCCCCAGAAACCTCAACTCTCTCTTCCTGATGTTAAGTATAAGTTTCCACTTTCTCCAAAACTTTGTCGTTATTCACCTGTTCGGTTCACAGTATCCTTATCATCCTTCTGTAGAGCCATGTTTCCATTGCCTCAAGTCTCCTCTTCATGTTTGAGAAGATAGTCCAGCACTCACTGCCATACAAGAGGACAGATATCACATAGCAGTTTAGTACTCTTTTCCTTGTTTCTAGCAAAAATTTCCTATTTCTTGGTACTCTGCTTAGCTTTTGGAATGCATCTTTGGCTATCCAAATGTGCCTTCTGATTTCAGTGTCACTCTTTCTTTCCCCTGTTAAAACACTTCCTAGATATTTAAATTTCCACACTTGTTTGATTTTGGTATCTCTGATTTGCATTTTGCACTTTGGGTTCATCTTTTTGCTGACAACCATGCATTCTGCCTTCTTGCAGCTGATGTTTGGTGCTTTCTTCTTGCTTTCCTTCACTACCTTCTGTAGGAGTTTTTTTGTAGCTTTCTTTCTGTCTACTGTATCATCTGCTATACCTTATGTTGTTGTGTGTGTGTGGCCACCAATAATGAATCCTAGTAGGACTTCTAGTTCTTTCAGAATTGCCTCACTGTATAGGTTGAATAAGTCTGGTGAGAAGAGACATCCTTGTCTTACACTCCTTCTTTGTATATCTGCTGAACTCCTATCTGTATGCAGGCAGTTTGCTGCCAGTACAGATTCTTGATTATTCTAACCAGATCAGACTGAAAATGCTAACGTCTAGGAAATCAATTCATTGCACTTTCTTGGTCTCATATTTTGCACTGACATGAAATGGAATGATTAGATTGAAGCAATTGCTGAGTTCACTGCTTGATAAACCAGTTCACTATGTCATGCTAGGCAATTTTTCTTACCAGAATCTATCTTAAACCTTTATATATCTATCATTTGTCCATGCATTGGATATTGCTACCATGTTTGGGTCGGTTTTTCTGTCTTATATCCAGAGATTCTTGAAAAATCCAAAGACTAATCAGCAATGTTATCAATCCTAACCTGGCATCAATGACTTTCTCAACACCTCTTCCCTTTACTTCTTCTATAAATATTTTCAGGGCAATTGTTTTATAAGCTTTCCTTGTTGGTATGCAAACTTCACAACTTTAAGTGCAGCACTAGATTGACAGCTAGTTCTCATAATTTCACTGTTTCAATTGCTAGTTGTAACTTTAAATTCTATGCCAATAGTTTCTTCTGCACTTCTCACTTGCAGAACTTTCTTCCAGCTTCACATTTTCCTGTCAACTATGATCTTTACAAATTTAAGTGTAATGTCAATCGTCATTTTCAGTCTCTGTGACAACTGTTCTTTTATTGTTCTCTCTGCTTCTTTCACACTCTGTAACCCCTTGTATCCTAGTGGCTTTTATTACCTTGCTTGAAGAACAAATGATTAAAAAAAAAAAAAAAAGGAAAAGAAGTTCCATAAGTGGTTAGAAGACCTCTGGAATAATGTTGAGTCATGTCCACAGTTCCCTGATATTTGAGATGGTTTAGATGTCCTAGGGGATTAAAGTATCCAGGTTGTACTGGGTTACATGATAACAGTAGCAGGCCTAAGCCAAACCTGAATTATTCCAATTAATTCATTGGTTATGTAAGAAGAACTACAGAATGTCTTGATGAAGTATCTTTGCTGTTTCAAATTGGTTAAATTATTGAAAGAAGACATACTAAATCTGATCTTGAATTTTATAAAATTATAACATGTTTCTGTCTGAATTTCTGGGATGAGGAGTTTTTATTAACATTATTTACATTTGGACTATTGTCCTCATCTCTGTTGTTATCATGTCTGGGCCATTGTGTTCTCTGATGCATATCAATCCAGGTAACCTAGAGGAAATTCCAAATTGAACCCTTTATTTAATCTACAGAGGTAGACTGTTCTTGTTCCACTAAAAATATCTTTGACCCACTAGGCTTTGTTTACACACAAAAACAATTCTCCTTTGAATCAGACAATACTTTTCTATTTTGAAATGTTAGAAGATAATTTAAAGAAATCAAAATAATAATTATCTCATTAAAAATAAATGAAAATTAATATGCATATTTGACAAAACTGCAAAGAAACATTTTTCATCTTTCTGGCTTACCTGTTGATGAGGACTTTCAGTCACAGGCATATTTGCTGGTAAGCTTCGAGACTGTACTGGGGGAACAATGGTTTTGCCACGTACTTCTGGCCGTTGTTTGACCACTTGTGGCTGGTCACTCTCACACTCGTGTACTTTTAAAACTGTACGGTCTTTAATGTCCCTGTACAAGAAAATAATAAAAAATACAGTTAATTCAATATTTTCATGATATTTGATAAAATGTTGTAGGTAGAATAAGTATAAGAAAGTGTAGAAATGTTCCCAGCCTGATGAAAAAGGAATTTAGAAAAGTTTTCTCAATCTCAGACCTTCATGCCCACAAAAAATGCATATCAAAAGGATGGTTTTTTCTTTGACACCACTATTATTTTAACAACATTCACTCCTTGGCAATTTTTTCTTGTTTTAAAAAGTGCTGATTAGAATTGTAATAAAATCTAAACATATGATGAAAGCAAATTTATACACTATTTTTTGTTCTTGAGAATTTAAAACAAAAATGTTAAACACTATTTATTTATTAATTTGTTTATTTATAAGAATAATTTTATATTTACAACATTCTAAAAACTAATTGTATTAAAACTAATGTAATGCAATATTTATTATTAATATGTGAACCAACCATAAGGAAATCATTATTATTATTTTATAAAGTTCAGATCAATTAGCAATTAACTGATGTTTTGCCAACCATTTCAATAAACAATCTTAGTAGCCTGTTTCTTGTTACTTTCTCAGCACCACAATGTACCGATATTTGATTGAGTGCCCACTAGTAACGAAAAGCATGCCAGTCATTGGTTGTCAGCATGGGACCCTGTTCCTTATACCACAAAATACTTCTACACCTACACAAGATCATGCTCTGTATCTTATCAACAAGTGGTGCACTGTGATCTGCTACCAGTAGGTCAAACCATCACTGTAGACCTGTACTTGCAGCAGTTGGAATGTGTGAAACAGGCACTGAAGCAGAAGGGAACAGCATTGGTTAATTGCAAGGGTGCACTGTTCCTCCATGACTATTCCAGACATCACGTGGTGCTGGTGGCCAAGGATACCATACAGAGACTTGGCTGGGAGACACTATACCATTCACCTTATCCACTGAAACTTGAATCAACAGATTACCACTTTTTCCATTCCCTGAACCACCACCTTTGTGGAAAATTCTTCATAAATGAGACAGGCACTCACAGACTTCCTTGCATCCAAGATATTGTACAGCTGGAGGCAAATTAAAAAAAAAGGTTCTGGATGCCAATAGGATTGCTTTGAGGACTAACGGTATGTCAAATTTGCTGTAAACATTTTATTCTAATAAATCAAAAATAGGTATATACAGTGAATCCATCATAAAGAAAATAGCAATGGGAGGTTCAAATTCAAAAATAAAAGATACAAATTGTGTTATAATTCCAAAATAGTATAAATCTGTTTCACAATTTCAATATTACTCTGAGGATATAAATCAAAAGGAGTCAAAATCTGTATCCAAAACTTGCAATGCACAACTATCTTCTGCACTTATGAAGGACCAAGAAATCCACCTGTTGTTCAAAGTAGTGCTTCTGGCAAATTTGGATCTTATTGCCCCCCCCCCAAAAAAAAACAAAGTGTCAAAAGGATAGTTTTTCCCTTTATAAAATGGTAAATAATAATGATTTCCTTATAGTTGGTTCACATATTTTAATAATTTAGTAAATCTTTATAAATTTATGAATAAAAAATTGTTTTCATAGTTTTTCTTTATAAATTGGTAAATGATAAAAATTGCATTCAGTTAGTTTTAAGAATCTTGTAAATATAAAATTATTCTTATAAATAAACAAGCTAATAAATGGTGTTTAATATTTTTGTTGAAATTCTGATGAACAAAAAAAATGTATAAATTTACTTTCATCTTATGTTTAGATTTCATTACAATTCTAATCATTAAAACAAACATTGCAGAGTGAAGGTAGTTAAAATAATAGCAGTGTCAAGGTCCATATTTGTTGCATTTTCTTTATTGGGGTAAGAAGGGTTGTAATGGGTGAAAACTGGTAGGGAAGTGCAAACAATTACAATATTATGAAACCTACGTTAATAAACCTGATCTTGATTCTGATTTTCTATTTTGAGAAATAGCACAGAGAACACAAATGCTTCTTCAAGGTAAATTTGGTTTTCTTCTTCGATGCCATAGATGCCATGTACTCTGAATCATGATAAAGATTCAGAATGTAAAATTAGCAAATACTAAACACTTCAAATACCTCTGTGTATTGATCAGTTGTAACAAATTTAGACAATAAGAAAACTGAACATAGAGTACAACACAAAAGAACCCTACAAATCTCATAAATCCCTACCAATTTTGGCTTCAGATAAAAATGACCTTAATATATATTATTCAGAAAAGCCATTAAAAGCTTTTTTAATTAAATAGTCTTAGTTTTATTAGGTTTTGTATTTTTACAATTGAACTAAAAGTTTGAATAATATTGAACATATTTTACCAAGTAAATTGATGATTTATATTCTTCAAAGTCTTGTGCATTTAACTAAAAAAAATAATTAGCGTCACAGCTAAAAGTTTTCATAAAATTATGTAGGGGGGGGGGGTAAAAAAAAGATATTTTTAACATGACTTTCGAAAAAACAAACATTTCTAAAATAATTTCATTAATTTGTGAATAAGTCCTGAAGGTTTCATTAAAATCTGACAATTATTTGATTTGCGAGAATTTCCAAATTAATGTGTTTTTCAACTGAAAATAGTGCTAAAAAACTAATGCTAAATATCACGCGACTGCTGACCTAAAAAAAAAAACAATCTAAGTTTCAAACATGTTGGAAAGGAATCAAAAATTAAAAAAAAAATAATTAAAAAATACTTTGATCTTTTGTCTTATTAATAAAATAAACATTTTCACAATAAAACTTTGTTTTTAATAAGTTTTGGGGGCCTTTTTTCTTCATGCCATGTGTTTTTTTTTTGTGAAAAGTTGGACATACCTATAAATGCTACATGACATAAAATGTGAAACACAGCTACAAACATTAAGCATAATAAACAGCCCAACATCAATAAAATATTACCAAATTTAGAAACAAACTTACTAAATATATTTCATTAATAAAACAAACAATAAAAACACTAACCCAAACTCACATGAAGTCATATTTGAAAAACAAACATAGCACTAAAAAACAAAGAATCTTTGATAATGGGTTATGAAAGCCAAAAGTACTGACATATTTATTTCATTAAATATAGCACACAAAGAAGATTTAATTTCTATTTAGTTTTTCTACCATCCTTATATTTTTCCATTTTGTAAGAGTAAGGGAGTACAAATAATACAGATAATTTTCATTGTCCCAAGCACTTTCAACCACTTCTTTAGCCATTTTTGTAATCCCTCACTCCTACAAAATTAATGGAATCAAATATATGATTAAAGGTCTTTTAATTGTCCAAAGAAGATTTGGAATATTAATAAATCTTCTTATAGATGTTATTTTTAACTTCTCAAATTTAAATATAAAAAATAATTTCAAATTTTCTTTTGAACACTGTATCAGTTTTACTACATTTTATTTAATCATCCTTAATTTCATCCAAGAGGTCTGTTTCATTCTTTGAAAAGTGAGTTTTAAGTACCAATCCAATTCCTTCAATGATGTCAAGCTCAAGTGTTTCATCAAAGAGATCTTTTCTGTCAGTTATATCTGGCTTTATAAGTTGGTCAATCAAGTCCCTTCCGTCTGTCATGCCTGATTTGAATGTTTTTCCCAATAATTCCATTCCAGCAGAGATGTCTTCTTCAAGAATATCAGCTGACGAGTTTTTCTTAGAGACCTCTTCTTTGAGGCTTTCATCTAATAATTCAGCTCCATCAAACCCAGTTAATCCAAGAGTTTTGTATAACAGATCCATTTTGTTTATTTTACACAGATGAATGAAATTCTATTAATTTTCTCTTTGATTTTAAGAACTGTCTATTAAATTTAAAGGCTTAGTTTACTTGTTCTTAACAATTCTATTTAATAATTTCTTTTTTGTTATTGTGATTATAAGATATTTAGCTTGATGCAATAATTATTGTGACAGTAAGATTACTCATTGTTGGAAATAAAAAGTGTAGTTTATAAATAAACTTTGTCTTTTGCAAAAAAACAAAAACAAAAAAAACTATGTCCAGTTTATGTAATTAGAAAGTATTTCTATCTAAAATTCTTTAAATATCTTTAACCATTCCCTTTGAAGGAGAATTTTTCCTTCTTGTCAGAGAATTTATCCTGACTAATGAGCCTAATTTTTTTTTTATTATTTTAACAGTTTCTGCTTGTTTGCTTTCTGTTTTTCTTTTGTATATTTATTTTGTTAAAAGATTTGTCACAATTACAAAATGACATAAGCAATTGAGATCAAAACAACTTTAACCAAATATGGTATGCAAATCTTTCTTTCTTTTTTTTTTTCCTTTATGTTCAGCCTCTCTTCAAGACATAGGAAGTTGCAGAGAGCTATGATTAGCTATCTAGTATGGCTCTTAGTTTTCTTCCCTTTGCTAAAGCTCATGTCCCCAGTTCTGCTATCCATTCACATAAGCATGTCAGGTGTGAGGCATGCTGCCTTCCACTATCTCTCTTACTCATGAGGGTTAAGTTTTCCAAGCTCTCCTCCCTCATTATGAGTCCAAGGAATTTGAGCTGTCTCTTTGTTTAAAGGTTGAAAAGAGAGGGTTTTATGTTTATTTTTTTATATATTATCAAGCCCAGAGAGAGGTACAGAAAGAGTTCATGGCTGAAATTTAGTTTTCCAAATAAATCTTCTCAGAGAATTAGAAATTTTCTATAGTCTTACACCACATTCCTATATGATCACCAATGTTAAGCAATGTCAAGCCTGGTTAGTACCTAGATGGGTGACTGCTCAGAAATAAGGTGGTGTAATGGATAATGGCTCAGAAATGTTAATTAGAGGGCAAAGTTACAATTCAGACTGGGTTTGTTACATTCCTTTATGCACAAATTCTCTTGGGAAAAGTATGAATACCCCTCTTCTCTCCCCCAGCTATGGGTTAATTAGTAGGACTTGTATCACTAAATCATTATCATCTAAAAAAAAAATCTTACAATCGAAAAATATTTTCTGGCTTTAAATAACCTGCAATAGGTTGATAATAATTTTTTTGGGGGGATAATGATTTAGTGATACATGTCCTACTAATTAACCTATAGCTGGGAAGGAGAAGAGGTGGATTCATATCTTTCTCAAGGGTATTTGTGTGTCAGTCAGTTATGTACTATGCATGATACACACTTAGGCGACCATGTATCTTTCAATACTTGACTGATGAGGCAGATTTTTTCCCGCAGTAGGTTGCCATTTCTTTCTGCAGTAGACCAGTTGCCATCCAAGGCTATAGAATCTGATTAGTCCTGCTATTTACCCATAGCTGTGGGGAGAAGTAGAAGATTCATACCTATCCCAAGGGTATTAACACATAAACGAAGGTAATGGATTCGACTGGATTTTGAACTCGGCTCTCCGATTCCTCAATCTGAGCCACTATCCATTAACTGAAATGGAATTGGAACTTGGCTCTCTAATTAATAATTCTGAGGCATTATCCATTACACCACCTGCACATCCAAGCTTATAGCACCTTTTATTCCTAAGTGGTCACCCATCTAGGTAATGACCAGACTTGATGTTGCTTAACTTCAGTGATTGTACAGGAACAGGTGTTTCAACATGATGTAGCTGTACAATCCATATTTAAAGTTATTATTTGCTTGTGTCATATTGCAATTGTGATAAATCGTTTAAAATAAACTCTTCATCTGTTCTTGTGTCTCATTTTTATTAATAATGAATTATTACATAAATATCCCTGGGCAGCTTGTCGTTAGTGTCCTACAATGGAGCCTATATTCAGATAATCTGAAGCTAATCAAGAGAATTAGGGAGACTTGACAAACCATTTAAAGGAAACTTTTAATCGGTAGATATAGTTAATCTGTAGATTATCCTAAGAAGCTTTGATGAAATTATCTGAGAATTGAAAGTCACAACAATCAAGTAAATTTCTGCCTAAATTTCAGAAATGAGATATTTGATTGGTTAAAAAGACTGTTCTGTACTAGCATTAGGTCAGGTTCTGTTGGTTGATTTTATGACATGTTGGCCCTTGTGAGGTTACTGTATAAAAACAGGTCAACACAAAAGAAATATTGCAACTAGGATGTCCTGGGTAGATAAGAATTGTGTTCTCCTGAATAAGTGGCTGTTTGGAGAATGCAGTCTCTAGATGGCATCACTGTTAAATTTGCATAGACATTGTGCTAATTTGCATGATAATGGTGATGCTTGGCAAACAATGAATCATATCAGATCTATGACTGTGACTACAGATATATAAGACTGATGTGGGCTTTTGACATGGTGTAATGGTTAGCAAGCTTGTCTCACTAAATCAATTATGACTGAGTAATGAGTTCCATCCTCACTGGGCACTCCATAGTTTTGGCCTTGTGCCACGTCTACAATATAAAACTGATGTTTTACAGCATCAGAGATTTAGTTGGTGTTGCATAAGAAAATATTTTTAGTTTGTAAGAATTGGGGGTGGGGGATAATAATGGTTTAGTGATACAAGACTTACCAATTAACTCATACCTGTGAGGAAGAAGAGGTGTATTCATACCTTTCTCAAGGGTATTTGCACTTAAGATAAATTTATTAAGAGCTATAAAGGACAGGAAATTATGGAGAACTATGATTGCCAATGTTCTAAAGAGACATGACATGTATAAGAAGATTCAAACACTGAAGATGGAAGATAAGCAATATTTTAATTATTTTAGGATTTTTTTTAAATTTTAAGAAAGATAAAAATGCAGCTCAAATATAATAAATATTTGTATAGTTTGTGAAAAAAAGGACTGAATTGAGTGATGTGGGTTGGATAGTAACTTGATTGTATATTAGACATTAGTACATTATAGGTAGCAAGGTCAGTTATTTCTGGTTTAATGGGTTATTCTAACAGCTACTGAATAGGCATGAATGGTTATTTTAATTGTAACAGCAAATGAAAAGAACTAATTATGAGTTGGAAGAGATTATTTTATAGCTATTTGTTTAGGGTTCTTTAACTTTTAAATAATTTTTATTTATTATTATTTGCTTCTGATTATTATTGAATTTATTTAGTGTATTCATATAGTTTTATCTATCTATTTCATATATATATATATATATATATATATATATATATATATATATATAGAGAGAGAGAGAGAGAGAGAGAGATGTGTGTGTGTGTGTGTGTATATTTCATTGAATAATATAGACATATTGTGTCTACTTATTTTTATACTGATCCTTTCCAGTTGTCTCATCAGTTTCTTGATATTGAGTTGAATTTTGTCAAGGAATGTGTCAGTTTTTTTCAACCCAAGTACTTTTGATTTTTTCTAAGGTCATCTTCAGGGTTAAATTACAATGACAACATGCTATTGTAACTGTGATAAAATCTGTATTCTGTTGTCATAGTGATCTTTAAAAATGCAAAAATGTGCTCTGTTATAGTTATTTTAGAATTTTAAAATCTATCTATTACAGTTATGGAATGTTTTACAAAACAAACATTTCAATATAAGGGATCTAACTGGAATTTGTGTAAAATGGCATTAAAATGTTTTTAAAAATCATTATGACAACAGAATGCAGCATGTTTGTCATTGTAATTTAGCCTTGAAGGTAATCACCATGAGTGTGAGTGTACTGTCTTTAATCAACTACTGATTATGTCAGATTATATGTTCTCTCTCCCAGAATCTGTAACTGAAGTCTACAATATAAAACACAGGTTGGTTCCTTGTGTACAGAAGAAACACAAATATGCCTGTGTAGGTGTCTACAACAGGGATCATCAAGCTATGCTAGCAGATGGGTGTAGTTGGAAACTAGCAGTTAGCCATTATATATATATATATATATATATATAATAAATGCGTAAATGTCAGTGTCACCCTTTTTTAAGATACAACTCTCTGAAAAATTCTTACATCTGGAGCCATATTCAAAGACTCAGTTTGAAAACAAACATGAGAATTAGAATCATATTTGATCTTGAAGCAGGAAGATTTGCTGCTTTGCTACTGCAGCTTGGCAATAGAACCATCAAAATGGACCAAAATGGAGATGCTTCACTCCCAAATGGTTGTGGAATTTCAGTCTCAAGTAGCCAAGACTTGATTAAGCATGTTTATCCAAACATTAAACACCATTTCATGGATTCAAACTGGCTTTGTGAGAGTTAGCTCGCATATTAGCTGACACATGAGTAAAAAGGTATGGAGGCTCATAGCTGCTCATGTCAATGTTAAAGATACAGCCTTCTTCTGTAAAGAAGTGGCCATTATCATACATATATATAGTAGCAGGTGATTTGCTATTTTGTGCCTAGAAATGTTGCCAGAGGATCAATGAATCATTGTGTGTCTGACAAGGACCTGGCATGTCTATGAAGATGTCATATGTTGACATTTATATGTAGGGGAGGAATTTGTGGAATTTGTGGAAAGCTAAGACCGCTAAAGTCCTGAAGGGACTGTATATAGAATATATATGAATCCATCTCTTCTTTCCCTGGCTATAGGCAAATAGCAGGACAGGTATAGCTTTAGGTAGCAAATGGTCTAGGAGAAGGACAACTCTGAATTCAAAACCTGCTGAGGGTTGCTTGGGGACCTTGTGTTATATTGGGCACTAGGTCTCTGTATGTGGTGCTTTCAAAAAGTGTGGCTGGTTCTGCACAAACCTTCACTATTATAATTAAATGATATGTGTGAGCTGCTTGACCTTGCTTGACTGGAGAGTCCAGTTTATATGATAAAAACATAGTTTTAAGTTACGCTATATTTATGGGTAAAAGTGCTCAATATCAGAAAAAGAGAGTGTGTAAATATAAAAATATAAAGTAGATACTGAATGGCAATACTAAATAAATAAATATATATATATATATATATATAAAATGGTCAAGGGTGCATTATGGGTAGCAAGGACTATTGTCTTCTAACGGTTACTGGGTAAGCGGTAACAGTTATATTTCAAATTATTCTGGAGGCTATTGAGTAGAAATAATTGTGAATTCAAATGTTTTATTTGTGGCTGTTGTATAGTATTGTTTGTTAAAAATAATGTTTATCTCACTTTAAACATTATTTTTAGTGGATACTCATATTCATATCCGGTAGATGAAAATAAATATGTTTAAAATATATGGAGCTTCTGCGCAAATATTGGTATCCACTAAAAATAACATTTCATGTGATAAAAATCTATTGGATTAATAAATCCATTACTGAGCAGATATGAACATTTGAGAAACTAGAATGAAAATGATTGTGCTTAAATCAGTATTCTGCCTTGATTGATCAGTGACACTCTTCATGCTAGAGCCAATCAAAAGCATGTCAGATGTAACAACATTTTCTCCTGCAAAAGGAGGTGCAGGTTCGAATCCTGCCAAAGGGAGCATTTTTCTTTAATAGGATTTCTTAAATATTCAACATTTAAAGTTATAAAAATATGCTGAATTAATAAATAAAAGATCCATATATGTGTGTGTGTGTGTGTGTGTGTTTAACTGTGTCTTGTGGGATAAATATTAACTTGAAACATTAGCTAGTTACCCTAGAGATGGGTGTACTTGTTAATGAGCAGTCAGCCATTATGTCACATATACAAACATAGGCAGGGATTTGTATGCAAATATTTATATAATATAACAATTAGGAAATAAAAATCAAACCATTGCTGTAACACATACCTTAGATCTTCTAACTGGTAGTATATATTGGTGCGTGGATCAACAATATAGATTTTATTTTTAGGAGATTCCATAAACTGCATGGTAACCTTGTCGGGAAATGATCGAACAAAGAGAGCCCGCACAGTATCCAGAGTGGTGATTTCATTTGGCAAGGCAGCTTTTTTAGTTTCATCTTTATACACTAAAAATACTAAACCTGAAAGAATTGAAAACAATGAGTATAAATTTGTTGGTATACAGAATAATTAAAAAGAAAATGGACATTTTATAACAGTTTTTATATAACTTATGATATTATAATTGCAGATAATTTTACTGTAGAATTTGCATTGCAGGAAATTTACTGTAAAAATGCATTACAGTTAACTTTACTGTAGATATGCATTGCAGCTAACTTTATTGTAGAAACACAATGCAAATAGCTTTACTGTAGAAACACATTGTAAATAACTTTTGAGCAGGCTCAACATTGTTTAACTTTGGTGATTGTACAGTAATTGGTGTTTCAATGTGATGTGCTTCAATGCCTGCATACTTTTGGCTTTTGTAAACCATTACCAAAGAACTTTTGTTTTTCTTGCTACATCAGTTTCATCATTTTCAAATATTGTCTTCACATCAGGTTTTAAAATCATGTGTCTTCACATGACAATTTCTCATATCAGAAAAATATGAAACTGAAACGTCACAAAAAACAAGAACTCTTTGATAATGGCTAACAAAAACAAAGTAGTCGGCCATCGGACAATTTATATTTAAATACATGCTGGAAATCAGAAAAATGATCAAAAAAAAAAAATCATAAAAACCTTTCATTGATCTTAAACCAAACTTGAATAAAAGAAACACTGTAAGCCAAATAGAGCCAATGAATACTAAAAAGCATAGGAAATGATTTTACGACAGCAATGGTTAACAAATTATATTACTATGTACATTGCTAATAATTTTTCTACCAAAAGATACTGCAACTTATTGTAATAGTTGCTATTCATATAACTAATTATTAATCATGATTAGAATAAATACATTAAGACTTTTAATAAATTATTATGGAGAGTACAGAATTTTATTGACACTATTCTGAGAAAATATCTTTCATCCATTCAACTCTCTCTCTCTCTCTATATATATATATATATATATATATATATATATATATATATATACACACACACACACACACACTGTTTACATTGTTCAGACTGTTGTCTTCATCTTTATTGTCCTGTTTCTAAGGACACATGGCCCAGTGGATAAAATGTTGGTTGAAGAAATTCAGTGACTTGTCCCAAAGAGTTGTGAATTCAATACCTAACCACAAAAGAGATGAACAAAAGAAGAGTTGAGTTACTAAAGGGGATTAACTGAAACCACGATATCCAGAAAAAGGCATGGCATGTGGAACTAGAACAATCTACCTCAGTGGACTAAATAAAGGGTTCAGTTCAAAATTCCAGTGTATATCACCTGAAGGAGGACAGAGCATATAATGGCCGAAACATTATGAATATGGCAATAAAAAATGAGGACAACAGTCTGAACAATGTAAATAGTTTAAATAGTTACAATACCTCATCTTATATATATATATATATATATATATATATATATATATATATATATATAGAGAGAGAGAGAGAGAGAGAGAGAGAAAAACAACACAACCTAAGTCAGGCTAAAATTGAACCTGGCCTGATGATCATTTGATTCAAAGGTGAACATTAAGTAACTTTGATTTTCTTTTTTATTCCGCACTTTTCTTACAATTATATATATATATATATATATATATATATATATATCTCAGGTCATCCCATAAGTTCTGTCCGAATTTTGAATAAAGAAAACAAGTGACCAAATGTTACATTTAATTAAAGATTCAATCAACAATGTATTTTCCCTGATTATCTATGACTTCCTTCCATCTATTAACAAGCTTACTAATTCCATTATTGTAAAATTCTTTTGGCTTTGATTCGAAGAACTCACAAATGTCAGTTTTAACCTCTTCCTGTGTTACAAAAGCTGTTTCTTCCAAATGATTCTGTAAGCTACGAAACAAATGGTAGTCTGAAGGAGCAAGATCGGGAGAATAAGGTGGATGAGGAATTTTCTCCCAACCAAGTTCTTCGATCTTTTGTGACGTGATTCTTGCTGTGTGGAGTCGCACATTGTCCTGATGAAACATCACCCCTTTTCGATTAACTAGAGCAGGACTTTTTTTCCTCAAAGCTTGGTTCAAACGCTCTAATTGCTGACAGTATATTTGAGCATTAGGTGGTAAGAATTCAAAGTGGATTATTCCTTGGCGATCCCACCAGATTGAAAGAAGAACCTTTTGCCCATGAAGTTCCCTTCTCAGCTGTGGCTGGAGTCCGTCCCATTTACCAAGCCACTGTCTACGACGCTTAACATTTTGATAAAAGATCCATTTTTCATCGCCAGTCACAAGTCTATCCAAAAAAAGGTGAAACAAGTTGGCGAGAATGGAGAGAAGAGCAGATGTCAACTCAGGATTTGAGGTTGTTTTCAGACAATTCATGAGGCACCCATTTTCCAAGTTTAGGAACTTTTCCAAGTTATTGAAGATGACGATGAACAGTTGTATGGTTTGAACTGAAAACCACTGCCAATTCCTCAACTGATAAAGCAGGATTTTCTTCAAGGGCTGCTTCAAGAAGCTTTTCATCGAACTCAACTGCACGTCCGGTTCGATCTTCAAGGGTGAAATCTCCACCTCTGAATTTTGCAAACCATCTTCTGCAAGTTCTTTCATTCACACATTCCTCTCCATAAACTGAGTGAATGTTTCTAGCCGCTTCAGCTGCTGAGTTTCCTTTCTTGAACTCATAAAGCCTTATGTGCCTCAAATGATTCTTGGGTACTTCCATGTTAGCAGGGTTTTAATCAAACAAAATTTAATTTTATTGTTCTCTGAAATAAAATTTGATCAGTTTAAATGCATCTAAACATAAAAATAATGTTCAGCTCCATTAGACATTATAAAATACTCTTTAAATTTTGTTCATTTTAACAAAAAGTTAAAATTCGGACAGAACTTATGGGATGACCTTATATATAGATATATATATAAATAATGGGTGAAAATTATAATTCTTTATATACCAGAACAATACAATATTAAGAAAATTAATAATAAAGTGAAAAAAATCTCTTGTGTGGCATGTTTTCCCTTCATGATTTCATCAGACTAAAGTGATGTTTCTTTTAATGTAACTTTACTTGCGCATGAAAGAGAAATGGATAAAAATCTTCAAAATTGATAGGTTTATAAATAATTTCATCATTGACTCTAGGTTCATCTATCATTCAGTTCATGCTACACCACAATTTTTTATTTCCTGCTGAGGACTCTGTTTCCAATTTCTTCTAAAGTCTTCTCATTCTTTTTCACTCCCAGTAGCTCCCCTTGCATCTTAGTGGCATTACTTGAATTGATTAAAAAACAAAAAAGAAGAAAGTTTAACACGCTGAACCATCTTCCAAAGTCTGATTTTCTGGGTATTTTTTCTGTTCCGTCCTGTTCATACACCTGCCTAGTCTTTTGAACAAGAGAAGAGGTTTATCCCTTGTTTCCTGTTTAGGACTGGGTTTCTGATTTCGTCTAAATTTTTCTTCCATCCCAGTAGCTACTTGCATCTTAGTGGTATTATTGCCTTGCTTGGCTTGAATTGATTAAAAAAAAAGAAAAAAAAAGAAAAGAAAAAAGCTTCATACTTACCTAAAGGTCGTTCAAATGTACTAGATGAAGATCGAACAATTGGTAGGCTAGATCGTAGTTGATGTCCTCTCTGGAAATTCCCTGCAGACGCTGTATCTATGTCAGACATGGTACCATTCTCATCATACTCTACAGACCGATTTAAACTGGGATTATAAGTTACAACGGCTGTACGACGTCTTTCATCCCTTGGACGGGGAGTCTGTAAACATACACAAAGAAACCTATTTAATATTTGTGAAAAAAAATTTGAAAAAAAAATTACATTTTACATAAAAAATATGACTTTGTAGCAAACCACCCATATTCATTTCATATTCCATTGGTGGGATGTAAGTTCTACTGAAAAAGCTTTTTCTCATTAATTGCTGCTTTGTAGAACCGAATCCCAAGAGGATGCTTCCCCAATCACTACACTCTTAACCTGTTCAAGTCTAGAGTTGACCATTATCTCCTCTACATATCCTGTATCTCTTACTTCTTACTCTAACACCAGTTCCTATATGATCACCAAAGTTAAGCAACATCAAGCCTGGTTAGTACCTAGATGGGTGACCACTTGGGAATATGAAGTGCTGTAAGCTTGGATGTGCAGGTTGTGTAATGGATAATGGCTTGGAATTGTTAATCAGAGAGTCAAGTTCCTATTCCAGTTGCATCCATTATATTCACTTGTGTGCAAATACCCTTGGTAAAGATATGAATTCATCTCTTCTTCCCTCAGCTATGGGTTAACTAGTAAGACTTGTATCACTAAACCTTTATTATCTTTTTACAAAAAATAATAATAAAATTGCATACAAAATATATAAATTTTGATATTAAATAACCCATAGAGGTTGAGATGCCACTAAAAACAAATAAACTTAGCTCTTACTCTATAACCTTTTACCTTGAATGGCTCTTGTAACACTATTATAATAATATATTATTAGAGTGGACACTGAGGTCAACACAGATTGTTGACTGTGTTCAAGTATAAAACAGACAATCTTCAGGCTGTATGATGGTAGCTCAGCTATTTATATATGCTCGTCAGAAAGTGTGACTTTGACACCTTGCTTTGTTATGATAGCTTCATGTGGCCTAATGGTAAGGTACACTTAGCTTTAAAGTAGTTTCCCTGATTGACAAAAGGAAAACATGTTAATTTTCTGTCAAGAGGTATATTTTATATTGTGTTACTTATAAAAAGGTTGACTTCCAGACCTTGTCCAGAAATTTGATCTTAAAAATCTGAATAAGCATAAAATACACAGCCTAAATGTTGAGGCATCTTGAAGCTTAAAATGGTTTTCTTAAAGAAAGGAAAAAATAATTGATAGATGGAGATACTTTATTTTCAAGTGGAGTGATTTCTTGAGATGCGAGAAATGTCCTGTTTGATACAGGAACATTTAGGAAATATAATGTTTTTGAATATGATTCTACAGCTTCAGACTTGACTGAAAATAATGCCATTTTCTGTAATTTGTTGATAATTTTCTTACCATCTGACATGTTACTTGGTGATGTTGGGATATTTTATATTAAGGCTTATATATATATATATATATATATATATATATATATACAAAATAATTAAAGCTCTTGATAGTATATTTCAATTGAGCACTCTTCAGAGACAGCCTAATTCTACAAACAGCAGTTGCCTATGGTAAAATGAATACGAGCACTCTGACTGGCATTTGTTTACATTGATAAAAACAATATGCTAGAATTAGCAGTTTCTTTCTGCCAAGTGCTGATGGCTTAGGGGTAGAAACTCCAAATTACACCAAATCAGTCAGGTTTCAATCCTGGCTTGAGGCTTTTGGACATCTAGTCACACTGAGGAGCTGTGATATAGCGAAGCAATACTGTTTTCAAATGACATTATATATATATATATATATATATATATAGATATAGGAAATAAATATATATATATATATATATATATAACAGGAAATATATATATATATATATATATAACAGGAAATATATATATATATATATATATATATATATAAATGAAATGGCAGGCTACTCATTTTCTGAGTACAGCTGTCTCCCGGGGCTAGTAGCAAATCCCTATTACAGATTCTGCCCAACCTACAGAGTCCACCATGTGCTGGGTGGACTGTAGTTACAATTTCTGGGAGAGAGCACGTGATCAACAGTCTGAACAAGGCTAGCATGCTCAAACCCTCAGTCAGGATGTCTTAAGACTTTGTGCTAGAACAACTAACAATAGCTCTCAGATAGTTCTGATATTACTGCCTTTCTGTGACAAAGTTTCATATAAACACCTAGATAATTATGTAGTTAGCTGCCTCACAATCTTCAGATAGTACAAAGGATGAGACATTCAATTCTATATCATTATCTTTTCCACATAACCTTATAAACTGTACTTCTTGCCTCTTACTATTACCAACAACCTACTTCAGTAACCTTCTACTTTGTGTGGCACTTGGGGGTTCTATAAGGTGAACATTAGTAAAAAAAAAAAAAAAAATATTATTCTTATCTTGATCATTATGGATGTCATAGACACAATGTTTTGAACAACTACCCTCTGGTTATCTTCAGGTTATTATTATTTTGGCCATATCTAGTGATAATGAATTCAATTCTTGTATCAGGTAATGAAATAATATCCTGTTTCAGCAGGAACAGACAGAAATAAAAATAATCAACATATATAAGATATATCATATCAGTAATATAATGGACACCTGGAAAAGACCAGAGAATATTTGGTCCAGAATAACATTTCTAATAATCCTGACAAAAACAAATAGTTAAAACAAAAACTGAATCAGTTAAGTATACTGACAATTCTTCATCTAAAAATGAAACAAAAAACAAAATGGATATGGTTCTTATTATTTAAAGATCATGGTCAGAAATCTCAAACACTTTAGTATATCATAAAATATGGTACTTTGTTATCAGCATTTGTTATTCTTTTATTTTCTGAAACTGAGTTTGGTATATACGAGGTAGAATGATTGTCAAGAGTTGATCTATACATAAAAATCAATAAATACACAGGAACAATTGAAAGCAGGGAGAAACAGTAAGTAACCTACCTAACAAGCTTTTGAATTGATAGCAGAACAAGGAAAAAGAGGAAGAGTTAAGAGTCAAAAGTTACTTAGAGCAACAAAAGACAGGAAGATGTGAAGAGCTATGATCACCTATGTAATGAGTTTGTGTTGATGGCAAGAAAAACAGGGATAAAGAGTGATGGTAAGGAGTCAAAAGTTACTTTGAGCAACAAAAAACAGTAAGTTGCGGAGAGTTATGATTGGGTACATCCTGAAATGAACTTAGCATATAAAAGAAGCTATTTTTGCTCTATTTGTTAACTAAAATAGTTCTTAGTTTGTTGAAAATGCAAATATTATATTTGCACATAAGTGACTATAACAAACCCGACTGGAATTGGAACTCGGCTCTCTGATTTCTCATTCCGAGCTTTTGTCAATTACACCACCGATGCATCCAAGCTTACAGCACCTGGTATTCCCCAGCAGTAAGCCATCTAAGTACTGACCAGATTCAATGTTATAAAAATTTTTATATTTTAGTAATGTAAAATAATTAATTAAAAAGTGTAAACAAATAAATATTTTAATCATTTAAATTTGTCTATTACACAGACTTTGGAGAGAAGTGTATTTTAAAGAAAGCCAGATGGCATATAAAAAATTATTACATTTGTCTGTGAAAATTTCTATTTTTAGAATTAATGGTTAAAGAACCACCAAAATTATTTCTTCTATGCGGATTGTTACTGATTCATTTTTTCAATTTGAAAAAATATGTATTATCTTATTTATTGACCAATGTGGTCTCATGTCCTTGTAAATTTTGAAATTATGGTCTATTTCTGGAGTCTCCTGTTTAAAGCAACTGATCTGCAGATAAGAGTAGAATGAAAGAAGCTTCAAAGCAGAAGAGAGTGATATGTCATTCAAAGAAAGGGGACAGAACATGCTGGTTGTGAAATCTAAATTTCAACCAAGACGAACAGATGCTAAAATTTCATCTAGAAGGCAGATTAAGGACCCAGAAGGGAAGTCAGTTTGGGCTGTTTCCCTGAGAAGAATTTGGAAAAGGAATTGAAAGCTGTTAAACAGAACTTTTCTATAAAAGAAAAAAAATATAAAAAGTCTCTAAGATCAGTATTTTCAAATTTATCTAAGTTCAATTCGTGCTCTGGTAGTCTTTTTCATCTTACAATTAGGTGGTTACATCTTTTGTATTTTCAGCCTTATCAAAAATTTGCTTTACCTTTTCAAAGTTTTTTTCCAATTTCAAAATTGTAATCTTTCTTTACATCATGTATATTAATTGAAATTTTATCCAGCTTTATTTTTTGAATAAGGTGCACAAAAGGAAATTTTTGTGCAAGCCCTTTCTGTAAAATAATGCATTTGTTTTCTTTTCTTTTAAATATTCATTGTAATAAATATTTTTTCTTTTAAATTTCACATAGTGTTTGAGTCTTGTTCAACATTCAGGGATAAGGGAGGTGACATGCTCTCTTTTTGCATTCTATCACTACAAAAATTAATTTTCTTATATTTTGCACTAAAAATAAATTTGGTTATTCTAAAATTAAATTCTTATATTTTGCACAAAGTGGTTTTATATCAGAAAATTTAAATTTTAATAATGTTGCTTCAGTATTTTAACATGATGTGGACATAAGCCAGATATAGGAAGATTGATATCATATAGCAGTTCAGTACTATTTTCTTTGTTTCAAAAGACATTTTCCCTTTTTTGTTTAGATGTTGCAATGCATAGTCAAATCTATAATTGCTAAATTTCCATATGAGTTTTAATTAGGTGCTTTCATTGGATGTCAACTGATATCAATTTTCTGAATATTCCTGGACTCGTCTCAAAATAGCAAAAAAGAATATTCATATCTAAACAACTATGCCTTGAGTGACTATTGGGCTTCAAACTCAACCCAGACCTCAAGTGGAACTCGTACATATGATTCATTGCTAAAGATGCAGGAAAAATGGTCAGTTCCCTGTACTGCTCCAATAAGTACCTGATTCCTGCCTTTCTCTACAGGCCAAAAATGGAGTACTGCTGTCATATTTGGGCAAAAGCTGCCCAGTCCACACTTTCCAGTCACAATAGAGTCCAAAACATCTCTGTCTACTTGTGAGTGATGAATTATTTTACAACATGAAACCCCTCTCTCACAGACAAGATGTTGCAAGCCTCTCACTGCTCTATTGCTACTTCCATGGAAAGTTCTCAGATGAACTACGTTCATTAGTTCTAACCTTCATGGCTTGGACCCATCATGCTATGCACATTATAGCTAACCACCCTCATTCCCTCCTTATTTCACCAATGAGTAAGCTCCACTTGAGCAGCTTATTCTTGTGAGCCTCTGCTCTGTGGAACTGACACTCAAGAGGATGTTTTCCCTATCACTACAATCTTAACCTGATCAAGTCTAGGGTTAACTGTTATCTTACCCACTTATCCACATAAACTATGCTTCTTACTCTGTGATGCTCTATTTTGAATGGCTTCAGAGCCTTGTACAGGGCGAACCTCAT